AATAGCTTAAAAAATTGTTCCTCCAGGGAACATTCAACCTAAAGAAGGAAAGCAGCCCAAGCAGCGCGCTTGAATTTCTTGTTAAGGTCACTCTGCCGCAGCTTGGAATCAAAACTCAATTAAAAAGCCAGGGAGGGGGGGAGCACAAGTTGTTTGAATTTCATGTTGTCACATGATGCTGCAGGATATTTCACCACCAGACACTGACACTACATAGTAAGACAAAGTCTGCATTTTCGCACCTGACATCGCAGCTCAGACTTGGTTGGGGTTGCCAGTAGGAATCGGACAAACTCCTTCCGAGAGATAGGAGAATGATCCTCAGCTGGCTGTGAATTCTGTTGAGAGAGTTGTTTAAAAGCTAATACAGATAGGACTAAATTATATATTGCCTGGAAGAATAGGACATGTGCATTCACATATTAAAGAAAACAGATTACCTTAATAGCTATTTCTAGATGTTCAATTAGTGAATCGATACCAAAAAACCTGGCTTCTTCCAAAACACCTAACAAGACAAAGCAGTATTTGTTATTAACAGGGAGTTGTTAAACAAGAGGGCACTCTTCTTCCCTTACTGGAGAAGGCAGTGTATAGCCACACCAAGAGCATGCCAGAAAGTTTGGATTAATCCATCCTTACTATTGGAGGAGCATCAATTCAATCGACTTTCCGTACTTGTTATACCTTTTATACATTTTACTTACACTAATGAAGATGAATAGATCACTTGTTGAAGTTTAAGGAGTCTCAAAGAAATGCATAAACTAATAAAACTGACAACCACATACATTATATTAGATGTAACTGTATAGAGGACAAGCAAGCTTGCTTGCAGCTAAAAGGAAAAAATAACTCAAAACGGATGTTTCCAATACCAGTATTAGGTTAAAGATACCAAATCCAGAATTATGGCCAGATATTAATCCAGTAGGGAGAATTTTTAATGCTCTCAAGATAAGTTTGAACAGTGTATCTTCATTAAACCAAGCATGTGGAATTGCAGTGCTTGAGAATAAATTCACCAAAGAAAAATCCCAAACATTTAGATGAGTATACAGAAGTCCCACTGACTTTACCATGTTTACCTGAGGGCAAAGTTTAACTTCTAAAGAGTAATAATTTAGGAGATGTCATACAGGTAATACCTACCTAGCAAATTAATGCCATCATTTACAATGAGCTGTCCGTGACGCAAATAGTTCAAAATTGGCTCAAAATACTCTGGACTGCGGTCAATTAGGAATGCTCCTCTATGATCTTGCTTGTTTCCCCAAGCATCTGTTTCCACAACATATATATAATTAAATTTGATATATTAATAGAAGAGCATTTGCTTCAGTTTCAGATTTTTACTACCAAAGGGTACTGGATTATGAAACATTCCACTTGAAAGGGCGTTTCTTGGAGAAAAGGAAGAAAAGAAGGGGGTAGGGGGAAATCACCTTAAAACGAGCTCACTCCTGCTATAACTAAAACATTTTATCACATACATAAGAAACATTGCTAGAATAAAAGCAGCATTAAGATTTTAGTTTCCTAAAAGCTGTCTCGTACAGTGTTTGCCCACTGATTCTGTTGACAAAACTGAGCAAGATGCACCGATAAGATGAAAATCTACAAAGACCCCAAAATATTAACTATGGATGAAATTATATTTTCAGTTTGTGAGACAATAAGCATTACATGGGCAATGGAGAAATAAACAATTATTGAAAAAATGATTATACATTCTACTTTGATACTTTAACATACTTTTGATATTTTAACATATGAACAAGAGTCTCAACTTGATAGTGCCTTTTGCCTACTTTGCTGATTTGTTAGCTTAAAAAATAAAGTTTACTTCTATATACTAACCTTTATCTTTAAACATGTGGGCCAACATACTGTCAGGTTCTTTATTAACCAAAGTGCTCCTAGAAAACAAGGCAGTGCAATTTTATTTTTACATGGAATGTTTTCCTCAAGAAGACAAACTTGCTGGCTGGAGTGTATTTTCTGCCCTTGGTGTGTGATATGCATTCCAACAGCTACAGCACTGTACTGATTTAATTTCATATAGTGTGATAACAAAATACATTTTGGACCTGAGGTATTGTAAAGGTATTTTAAATACTAAGCACTTAGTTAACTGAAATATTCCAAGGAGAAATCTAGGCCTGTTCAGGCTTTTCGCCAGTTTTACATCATATGTAAACTGTTTAAGAATTAATTTGTTGCAAAATTGTGATAGCAAATACAAAATACAGAGAAAGCTGCAGAAGTCAAAGGCCTCCTACTCCACAGTAAGTTATTTTTCTAGCTCTTTTGCAAGAGCATCTGAAGCCTCACCCACTCAATGTACACTACCAGCTGCCATAACTACTGAAATCAAGCCCTTTAAGAACAAAACCAACTAGCTGCATTTTTACCGTGTAGTGGTGAAGTATCGGCCTCCAACATTGAGTGTTAACCAATCGGTGTGTGACCCTGTTAGTTCTTCATGAGGTCTCCCATCAGCCTGAGGATCTACACAGATGTGAAAGACACAGTAATTATTAGAAAAATTGTGAATATTTCTGAATCCTCCATGTAGTAAGAGGTATCTTCTAAAAACACCAGAAAATAAAATTTTAGATTTACATTAAAGCGAAACACAACCTCTTTCCATTAAACAGAAGGTTAAACATAAGAATTACAGAGACTTACCAATGAATGGTTCCCCTTCACAGACAAACAAAACATCATCATCCCTGAAAGGGGAAGGGATAGGGGGAAGAGAAGGAGGGGGAAAAAAAAAATTAATCATAATTTTTTGTTCATCTAATTGACAGTGGGGACCCCTCCTGATTAGTTTCAGGTAAATGATAATCAGTTGCCATTAGTTAGAACTTCAATATCTTATTTTTATCTTAATTTTGCAGGTTCCAGTGGATTGACTTCACTAGAGATGTTATCTGTATCGACCAGGTAGGGATCACTTCTGTTACTCAAGCAGTTTAGTTTTACAAAAGAGTTGCTTTTCTCCCTGCTCGGGGAGTATTCTATGAAGCCAAAGCAACGCTAGAGTTTGTCTCCTTTTCAAAATCCTCATCTGGGTGCTGACTAGAATAGTGGGATTTTCCTGGTACGTGCATTGCACTGTGAATCAACACAGGAGGCTGTTAAAAGGCATAAAATGCAGCTTGTATCAAGTTCTGATTCATCAAGATAGAAATGCTTTGAAGTTCAAAAGACAGTATTATTTTTCCTTGAGGCATGAAAGCACCTTTGGGCATACTGGATGGCAATGATTACATCTGTTCTTAAGGAAAGAGCTGGTTATTGATTAAGGTCAGAGGATTAATAGGCTAGTAAGTCTCTTAATCCACATCCATGATTTGACTTTTATTGGATAAGCCTTACCTAATCAAAGCGATATCATCAATGAGTCCACCTTTTCCATTGTAAACACTGGTCGCTTTTATTCCAAGCTTATTACTAGCCACAGACAGCAAATCTGATAAAGTCCCATATACAGCCACAACCTGTGGAGGAGAGAGGCAGCTATAGGCACTGGTTTCTGCCATTTCAGACTTAGTACCAGGGCCATCAATATCTTCTTACGGGGGGAGGAAGGTAGCTGCGGTTCTTTACTAAAAAAGCAACCGAAAAGATCAACTTCGATGTTAGAAACGTAGCTGCCTTAAAACAGGGTGACTCGCACATCTCTCGCTCAAGACTCATCGTACTGACGTGGCGGCAGCAGTGGAAGGATAAGTGTTGGTACTATCAAGAATAGTACGATTCAATTATTTATTTCTCTAAAGAAATAGTGCTATGTGTTCTGTTCCAAGTTTTTCCCGAATTTATTTCCCTCTCTAAAACCAAAGGTTAAGCTACTGCCAAATTTACCGTCTTCACTCCAGAGATGCGGATGGGAAAAATCAGGGGTCACGGACAGCCCTTACAGCTGCATCGCACGGCCTTCTCCCATGCTAGCTGTGCACTGGCTGGGCCTAGAAATCTGTTTTCACTCTGGAAACGTAACTACATGGGTTTTAAACAAGCGAGCGGAGTTTAAACAGTTTTATTGATCGGCTAGCCAGCAGAAAGCGCGCAACGCGGCGCTAGGCAGAGACCTGACACCCTGCGGGATTCAATTTACGTGCTTCCCGCCGTTACCGAGGGCAGGTACGGCAGGACCCGAATTAACAACGACGGCGGGAAGGTGACTTTTAACAGCGAGAAGTCCTCGGCTCGTCGCGACTCGCCGGCAGAAACGCCGGCAGCCGCTGGCTCTATTTTCCGGTGAGCTGACACCCTCCCCGCAGGGCCCTGGGAGGTTTGCGGGCACTTCGGCGGCCCGGGGACCGGCACCCCGAGGCCGGCGGGACCCCCCCTTCCTCCTCCTCCTCCTCCCTGCCCGCCCCTCACCTTCCCGTTCCGGGGGCTGCCGTTAACGAACAGCGTGACCCGCCTCATGCTGCTGCGGTGGCGGCGGCGGCGGCAGCCCCACTCCTCCTGCCGAACCCGGAAGGTAGCGCTCGTTGACCGACATGAGTCACGGCCAATAGGCGGCCGAGACCGGCGTCCAATAAGAAACGCGCTTCGCCGGAGGGGTGGGGCAAGAAGGGGGTGGGAGGGTTGGGCGGGGAAATGGCGGCCGAGCGGCGGGCCGGCAGCGGCGGTGCCGGTAGCCAATCAAGGGAGGGATAAAGCCCTGCATTAGCATAAAGCAGGAGTTGAAGTAGAGTCGCCCTTGATTGGTGCGGCCCGTCACGTGGGCGCGGTTCGTTGAATGGACCGGTTTGGTGGTTTGTTGGTTTTTTTGGTTTGTTTTTTTTTTTCAAAATGGTACTGCTGCGCGTGAGCAACGGTTTTTGATCCCTCCGCGCGCAGCGAGCCAAAGAGTCCCCCGTCCTCCCTGAAATCTCTGCCGTTCGCCGGGGAGGGGGGGGCACGGGACCGGCTCTCACGGTCCGTTTTCCTTCCCTGCGCTCTTTAGCCGTGATTCCCGGTGACCGGTGGGCTCGAGGGGCGAAGGCGCGGAGGAATACGCGGTGAGGCGGCCCGGTTTGAATGCGGGAGGCGGGTACGGCGCCGGTGGCTGTGGGGAAGCGCTGGGGCGGGTGTGAGGGCGGAGGTTCGCGGTAAGGTGGGGTGCGGCGGGGAGAGGGGGTGGCTGGGGGGAGTTGGAGTGCATTG